ATTTCACTTGCAAACAGAAACCAATTCACCGAATATGATAACTTCATAAACGCAAGCATACCTAAAATAAGTTTATATTTACCTCATGAAGACGTGTTAAAGTCAATCAATTTAACAACTAATTTTCGCGTATTTTGGAAGCACCTTGTAAATCCGATACAAGTGTGCTGTTAACTGAGCTACAACTTGTTAGACCGAATATCCGAAACGAAATCTGTTTCATTAAAACAAATTTAAAATTTATACTTCAATACTAACGGTCGATACAAAGAGAGTGATCGAACAAGTTTTAGTTCAGATAAACGACAGAAAGATTAACCAAACAATTCGGGGAAAACCTCCAATAACAACATAAACATGAATCAACAACATACGTTCTTATCAATACGATGTTCAGAAGAATCACCTAAACAAAGCATAACTGAACATCTAAAAATATTCGAAATCTCCAGAAATTATTTAACGTTAATAGTTCATTAACTACAGCTGATACAATAATGAAATTTTTTATTAACAACCTCACTAACATTTTAACGCAAGCTAAACTCAATCTTTATGAATTGAATTCTAACCATTCAAACTTTTCTTTCCAACTCCAAATCGTCTAAGCATGAAATTACATATCTATACATATAGCGCGCGAATGAATGTGTTTTTCACTTCAAATTCTAGCTATAAAATAAAATTGATAGTGGAAAAGTCTAGAATAGCACTATCAAAACACATAGCATTCTTATACCTCAAACTAAGTGAGGTACAATTATTAAAAATTCTTGCGCGAAAAATGAAACGGGCATTAGTATCGCGTTTGATAAAAAATTATATTGGAGCGATCTTACTATCACTCTAATATGATTAAAATCTCTATTTTTATAAATATAAAATCGCTTTTGCGAATATATTTTATTTATTCAAAACAGAAATGTATGCAAAACTACTGGTTACGTACAATTTATTAAATCATTGTAGTGTACTAAAGCTTTGCAATGCGCCAAGGTCCACCTTGACTTCTAACTAAAGACTGCATCGCACGATTAACAATTTTGCAATTTTTGCGATTGAAATATGAATCTGAATTGCAAGTTTAGCATGTACTCATTAAACTGGTACGTAATATGAATCTCAACTTTGTTCAAATACTAAAATGACAAAGAACAGAACATCACAGAGTTTATTAATGATTAACAAAATGAATAATCACTTAATAAATTGATAAAATCAAAACAAGTCATGACAATCAAGCAAAACATCCTTACTTAAGTACGCATTAACAAACCATTGCAAAAACATTGGTTCTAACAATCAAGCAAGACATACCTAACTTAAGTACGCATTAACAAATATTTAAAACTAAAGACATTTACATCATTCTTAGTGAAATGGAATTTTGCACGTTGGGGTTCAAATCAAAACTCAAACCTAAAACTTTAACTTATTACAAATGTCACCCCATAGCGCTGTCCAAAAATCCATTCATCTATCAATTATCGATACCATACCTACACATGTGTATTTAAATATTATATCTTTACTACTTATATTTGTTAACAAGATTAAATGAAAAAATGGAGGCTTTTCTATGTTATTTTTTATCGCATGTCTCTTAAACACAAGATATAATGAATATAGTATTATATTCGAACTAATATCTGATTTAGCGACAAAATGGTTGATGCATAAATCTTGCAAAATTTATTCATAAACAAAAACAATAAGATTTGCTATGAAATGTTATAAACTTTTGCAAATAAATCGAACTAAAACAAGATTACGAATAACATGGAAAAGAAACTATATCGTGGAATCATATTCAATCATGGCTTATATTTCAAACCTCAAATTATTCACACTTCGGAAGAATTCAGACACAGATCGGAACATAGTTGAATATTGCTTAAACTCCGATACAAAAGATACTGATCACTTCCATATTCAAAAATCTTAAACCTCAACTTCAGCAACTTCAAAACACAAGAGCATGTGGAATATGGAGTCAAATATGCAAACTTTTTTCGTCTGCAAATGCAACCATAATATTCAGTTTAAGGAGAAAATGTCACAGTGCTCCTATAAGACAATTTAGAGAATACTGAACTGATTATTACTGATTGGTCTTATAGCACTTAAAAAAAGAAAGATAAACTATGATTTCCAATAAGAATCAAGAAATGCAGTTCATTAAATTTGAGTGTTACCAAAACCACTAACATCTACTTAATTAATTCACATTAATGAAGATTACCAATTATTTTGAAATCTATATTTCAAGGCCGGGAGAATGTTCGCGCCAATCAAAGCATGCGGCTATATTGATATATAAACAAAAAATCATCTATCAGAAATTTATACAAATCAATCAATCAGTCAGAACGTAATCAAAAGTATTAAAATTATTGTAAATATACTTATAACTTGTTATTAATATAAAATAAATATATACAGTTCTAATCAAAGTATTTACAATTGGTGCTTCATAAGGCAAGCAATCACAACATCCTAAATTTTTCATACACAATATCTGATTATTTGATGTGCATATGTCTAATGATCGTTTTTGACCGCCAAATGGCATTTTTTTCACTTTTTTTTTGTTGGATCTCCGAAACAGCTGAACCTGCATGTCCGAAAAACTAATCAAATAGTCATTTAGTCAATACAAGTTAAATGTTTTTTTATTTATTTGAATCGGAAGCTCCGTTCTCTCAAAAACTGAATTATCGTTTTTTACCCTTTTTGCTCCGTTTCTTTTGGCTTTTTCCAAAAACTTATCAGCACCTCTCCCCTTCAATACGAATCGAATGGTCTTGAATCATTCAAATCGGTTGATCCGTGCTCTCGAAATTGTGGTCGAAAATTTGTATCCATACATATATACATACATACTACACACACACATACACCACACCGTACTATATAAATCTATTTTTTGAAACACCTAACCTGTGTAAATTTCAGTAGATTCAGTAGATTATTTAGTAGAGCACCTGACTATATAGAATAAAACCAAATACTTGTAACTAAAACTAAGTTATCAATAATTGAACCGATTTCAAAATATTGTGCAAAACAAACATTTCGTTTTAGAACTTAAACAATTGCACATGTGTTTGACAATTGTACATTTAATGATTTCAATTACTAATGGCTTCATTATCTAGCATGATTTTCATGTTTGATAATTGCACAAATGCTTACTGTAAATACTATTTTTAGTTCATATATCATTTTATTGATATTAAGAAATATTAAGTTATATCATTAAATTTATTATATAAAATTTAAGCTTTTATTAAATTAGGCATAAATTATTTAATTTATTTCACTCAACAAGGATTAGGCACGCCATATAGTATGTATTTATATATTAGTATTGTATATTATTGTCTATTGTATTGTCTATTTTACAAAATACTTTTTTTATTATTTTTTTTTTAATTTTATTAGCCTCGCTTACTCGAGCATTTAGCCACCTTCATTATTCTATACAATCATATATCCTGTGCAATCTTCAATTTTATACTGTCATCTTCTTCATATAATCCTATTCTTTCTATATTTTTTAACTTATCTTCAATTCTTCTTTCTTCTTCTTTATTATCTTCTCATTTCTTCTTCTAAACACTTCTTACTTCTTCTACTATACTTCTCATTTCATCTACATTTTATTTCAATTCACTTTTAATTCTAATTCTTTAATTTTTATACATTTCGATTATTTTACACACATACCGCCACTACAAAATACTCATATACATTTATTATACAAATTATTTATTAGCACGGTGATATGAGCAATACTTATTATATAAAATAATTTGTTAACATAAAGAAATGACTTTTGTTATAGTATTATTATTGCACTGATGACCTGGGAAAAGAAATAGATAAATGCATACGGATCTGGATATAGTATTAAACTGCTTTGGTTTTATTTATATGGCGCTTTTCGATTTAATAGAGCTACACATATAATTAATTAATTAATTTTTCGGCCTACATTTTCGAATTGTTTCATGTCAAATATTTTTCTTAGAACAGCAATTTATTTCTCTTATTGCTGCACCCTACATTTGAAGTTCTAGAATAGCGTGACAAAATCGCATAGAAAGGGATATTATCCAGGACCTGTATCCTTGTTATCGTGGATCGAATGAAAACATTAAGGGCGTGATTTGTAAATGCCACGTTCCTGCTATAAGGAATCCGTAATAATGCAACATGCTCTTAACGTGTTCAAAAATCAATAAGATATAATATAAGGAATTCGATTAATAATATAATTGAATTCGTCATGATTTATTTATTAGCTATGTAATAAGGTTAGATGAATAGGTCATTAAGTCATTTGCCTTTGGATCTACTATTTGCATTATTTGTATAGCAATTTTATATAAATATTTCTTTTCTTAATTTTCTTAGTTTTTGCCAATGACGACAGTGCAGGACCAGTCTACACACGAGAACCCCCAAATCGAGTTGACTTTTCTAATACCACAGGAGCAACAGTAGAATGTGCAGCATCAGGGTCTCCTAAACCAGAAATTATTTGGGTTAGGGCTGATGATGGAACTGCTGTCGGAGATGTACCAGGCTTGAGACAGGTAAGTTGATTAATGGAAATTATTTTATAAAATTATATACATAAAATAGTTAAAAAAACAATAATTGTTGATAGTATGCTCGGAAACTATAAACTGATTGATAGTTAATCCATCCTAAGTAAATCAATTTTTAAATCATACTTTTTTTCTTGTTACTTTTTCTTTACATTCTTAATAACACATAATACATATTATCTTAATAACATCACAATATTTTATTGCATAAAATTTCTTAATTGAAAGCTTTTTAGAAAGATATGTTACTGCTACTATTCCAGTATGTGTATATATATGGGTCTATAGCAGCGGTAGGGGAACTTTTTTAATCATTACCCCAAAATATTTTTGTTTGTTGATATTACCCCCATGGCCTAGAGAGTTTATCCCTAATCGGAGAACTACGTAAATACATTACATACAATACATACTTTTTACCTCAAAAATTTCATTTTCACCTCATTTGGCGTAATTTACCACTATTTTCCGACCGCTGGTCTACAGTTTCAACATGTATGTTTTGTATATGCTGAAAAACATTCGCGCGCTCTATGAGTCTCGAACAACTTCATTATGTTGGATACACACCGATTGTAGATGGAGCAGTAGAGTTTTATCAACTATGGGGCCAATTCCTTGATCACGTGAGGATTTAGGGGGTTTGACAAAATATCACGAAAAATTACATGGGGGGAAGGGTCTAATAAGATATCACATGCATTTATTTTTCACCTAAATTTTCAAAAAAAAACAAATGTTACGTTTTTTCGTAAATGCAAAAATTTGTTCGGAAAATTTTAGTGACTAAAAATACACGTGATTTTTTGTGGTGGAGAGGGGGTAATTCTGAACATCACGACGTATCACCAAAAATCCATAAAAAATCGATCACGTGATTAATGGACGCCCCTTACAGCGTTGTTATGGTAACGCTTTGTTAAGCTGCTTTCTTCATATAAAATGGTAGTAAACACTGTTAAAATGCTATGCTTTTGCTGTGAAGTTAGGCGTTTTAGATTTAAAACTTAACCTAAAGAACGTACTAATGTCAAACAAAAATGCTATAACTGCATCTTTCTGGTGTGCATTAATAACACATGTGTGAAGTTAGGTTTTATGTGTAAAACGCCTAAATGTACAGCAAATACATAGCATTTTGACAGTTTTTACTATCATTTTATATGAAGAAAGTAGCTTAACATATCGTTGCCATTACAATGCTGTGTTATGGTCTATTTTACCGGAGAATTGGCTCATAAAATATATTTGAGGATAAAAGCTGCTTTCAAAAATAATCTGAAATCGACAAAAAATCTATGATTTTGTATGAAAAATACGAATTAATAGTATGAATAATACTTATTGGCATTTGATTCCATTGACTTTATTTATTGAATTTTGTTATATGATGCATGAGATTTAGGTTTTAGAAGTGAATTTCATAAAATCAACTATAAAACTTGGTTAAAACAGTTTGGTTGCTAATTTTGTCACATATCACATAGAATAAGAAAAGAGGAATTCTTAATAATAACAAACAAGTTTTTAAAAATAAGTAAGTATATTCGACATTTCGGAACTGGGCATGTTCTATCTTCAAGTTTTCTATCAAAATTAAAGTATATTGATATTATAATGAACAATAGCATGTCAAATCAATTAAAATCATGGAAATTATATACATATCGGGTAATGTTGGGAAGGTTATGATATTAAATATTTTAATATTGTTCAATATAATATCAACATAATTTATTTTTGATAAAAATCTTGAAGATTGAGCATGTCCAGTTTAGTGATGGGCGTTGAATCAACGAACGGTTATTTTCAACCGTTTCTTCTTCGTTAACTAACTAACCGTTTCGTCGCAACGAAATAACTAGTTGAAAATCAACTAGTTTCGAAACAGTTGAAAACATGGCGGCCAGTTAGTTTTTTCAACGATATAGGAATTCGTTTGTTGTCGAAAACGAACGTAGGCAGGTACCTGCGTCGGAAAGGATCAACCAATACTATGAAAATCGCTTATTGTTAGGCTACTGCTTGCAAATGTACATGTACATCTTAAAAGAAACTTGCAACACGCGCCAAATCGTTTAATTTTAGAAAATCAGTTACATTTATTATAGTTTTCAATGGTTAATATTTTTCATGAAAATCTCATAGCATTTGTCTTGTAATAATTTTTTTAAACTAAACCTGAAAATTGATTTTTATTTTTCATAACATTTTATATAACCATACATTTTTATATTGCTATTTTTATATAACATGTAAATTCGATGTTTTAGTATATGGCTTTGCTGTAATGAAAATATTTAAGTTTTTTAAATTAAACCTTTATTTATTATATATATATATATATATATATATATATATGTGTGTGTGTGTGTAATAAATGTGACAATTCACATTTATTTCTTTTTATTCATCAAATCCAACGTCAACTTGACTTTTATAAGAACAAACTTCATATTACCAACTTTCAATGAAACAGTTATTTCAACTATCAGTTTCTTAACGTTGCCAGCGTTGAATCGTTAAAAATAACTATAGTTGAAAAATAACTAGTTATTTAACTAGTTGACGAAACCCCGATAACCGTTTCGTTTCGTTGACGGCAAAACCGTCAACGACCCACCTCTAGTCCAGTTCCAAAACGTCGAATATAAATACTTTTATTCAAAAACTTGTTTGTTAGTATTCGCATTTCCTCTTTTTTGTGAACAATTCTACATTGTACTAAATAAACTTTTTTAGCCAAGTTATATACTTGATGTTATGAAATCCACTTCTAAAACTTAATCTCATGCATCACATTTAACAAAATTAAATAAATAAAGTCAATTGAAAATTGAAAAGTCAATTGAATCGAATGCCAATGAGTATTACTCATTTTACACTATTTTTAATTTAAAAATGTTATATAATTATTAGTTAGATGTTAACTCAACCTCTATTCGTAAGGATTTAATTTAACCAGTTAACTGTGGCGCACTACTCAAACTCTGCCCACAAATGTGCGTCGGCAGAATTGAGGTAAAATATTGTTTTTCAAGTTGAATGCCACTTACAACTATTTATTTTATATCAGCGTGGTATCAAAATATCTTGAAATATCTCTAAATATCTTGAAAAAATATGTTTTTTTTTTTCAAAAATTGCAAACTAAATAAGCCAATGGTCACTAATTTGTCAATGGTTGCGTGAAGGATACACAAAATTCTGCCATTTCTCCATGACGAGTATATTCGTCAATTACAGTTCACTGGCTAATGATAACTTCACTATAGTAGGTTCTTATCCTATATTCATGTAGAGAAATGTCCTCTATAGTGTTTTCATGCAACTCTTCGGTTTCGGTTTAAATCTTTAGCTCATAGATGGAGACAGCTAAAACTCCACGTGCATTTCAAAAGCTCAACCACGTGCTTTCATAGCATTGCATCTGCATTTAAACTTATTATAAATGTGTATATGATAATTATATTATTTCATGATAACTTGACTAACTAATTCATCAAATTTAATTCTTGTTTTCTTGAAGAAGTTTTTCCAGAAGTTATCAATTTTTGTAATTATAAGTAATTTCAAAATGAACAACAATCATGTACAAAACTGGGAAACAACAAGCAAGCGAAAATGATTGTTTTTCTTGAAGCGAATACTAAAATGTTGATCAATATTTAATATATTAGAAAAATTAAATATTTTTTATTAATTGAATTATAAATGCAATTTCTGGAGTAAGGGCTTATGACTTCTACTTTAATAGTAAAGGTAAAAGGGTTTTTTTAGTATATTTGTGTAAGTTTATAAAAAAATGGTTATAAGATTCAAAATATTTTCTTGAAGACGATTTTTTCCCAAAAATTACATTTTTAGTAACAAATTGTAAAAGTTCTTTTGCTCTATTTGTAATTCTCACTGCGTAAATTTGTATCAAGCTTTCTATATATATTTTATATTTTTCCGAATATTTAAAATGCAATCAATGAAATTAGGCCTCATCTTACCATCGTTATTTTTAACATCAGGCCGGTGCATTTCATTTAATGCTAATTTATTTAGCTCTTCTCATAATGCACTCTATTGTTTCGGCAATTTGAAATGCGCAAATTTTTCTTATGTATATAATATCGGAATATTTTCTCGTTCACAGAATTATTTTAATATAGGAATATTTCATGTTAAAAAAGCGATGACGTTTATATCGTTAATTTGATTGTTGTTGATGGTTAATATATCGAAAGCATGGGTTTGGCAAAGATTGCATATTTGATAATAAAAATAAATTGACAACATTTACAATCTTGGAACAATTAGTTATTGTTCTTAAGTTGCGCAATAACAATTGCTGATAAACAAACTTAACGAAAACATTGCGATCAAATATAGACTTGAGATTGCTTGGGATTCATCTATTTATAGAGCTTAAAATTAATTATAGATGATCTCTGTGTTTTATTTTTATCGATTGATATTTATAAACCTTGAATATATACTATGTCTCATGAAAATGGTTATTAGAAAAACAATTATTTTTGGCACTTAATTACTTGAAGATTCTAAAATAAGATTTTCTTAATTAAAAAAATCTATTAATAAAGTTTTAAAGTGCATATTCTTCTTTTTTTATTTTTGCCACAACCAATTATCTTCTAAATCTAAACTATCAATAAAAATAATTTTAAAACTTACACATGCAAAATATAATACTAAGATTAGGCCTTCATACACAATCGTGTTTATTTTTTGCAAAGAAATATTTAAGGTAAATAAATAATGCTGATAATGTTTATACACATGAGTTTGCAAATTATGATCAATAATAATCAATATTTATACACTATTGACCATCTAAAAAAACTAAGCATTGCATTTTATAAACAATAGATCTGATTTCACATAGAAAACATGTGTTGATTTTAATGACTACTTCTTTGTAGTACAAGAACTATCTATATTTATTTATAAATATCTAAAAACAATAAATATTAATA